GAGGCTAATAAGCTGGGAGTTCCGGACCCGCAGCCGCACCCCTCAGCAATGAACGCCTGTGCTTGAAGGGCGAGGGTTGGGAAGGTCAGACCCCAAACTCTGGCCCAACTTCTGGCTTAGGGCTCCAGTCGGGTTTAGACGGCCTCTTTCCTCTCGGAATCTTTGCTTCTCTGCTCTGCTTCCTGTCTCCATTCCACTATCCCAGCTCCACCGATTCTCAGGCTCCCCGGCTGTACTCTTACCGTCCTCTCTGTCTTCTCAGTGTCGCCACTGCGCAGGTGTCCACTTAGGGTAGACCAGCACAAAGTGTGAGCATCTGGACCTCAGGCTCGCCCTCCTGTTGTGGAGGAGTGGCTCTCCTCATTTGCATAAACACCCTCCGCCCCTTATTTGCATGACCTCTTCCCTGCTTGGACCCTGCTGCCCAGCTGGGACACCCGTGATGCACGCTGCCCACGCTCCTATAAAAGGGGTCCGGATTCTGCTCGACTTCCAAATGCAGAGCAAACCTGCAAGAGCCCAGAAAGTAACTGGCCACAGCCAGTGAGAAATAATTCTGCTCACCGGCCAACCCAATTCCGCCAGGGAAAACTCCAACGCCCTTGAGGGCAGCCTGCAGGCTTGAGCAGCCCACTCTGTCCCTGCCTCGTCCAGGAAGAGACGCCAAGGACGTGCTCTCCCGAGTCCAGGCAGCTCTACCTCACCTGCCCGCCTGCGTGTAGCTCAAGGCCGGCTGGCAGCATGACTCTGTGGAACGGCGTGCTGCCTTTTTACCCCCAGCCCCGACATGCCGCGGGCTTCAGTGTCCCGCTGCTTATAGTCATTCTGGTGTTCTTGGCCTTGGCTGCCAGCTTTCTGCTCATCTTGCCCGGGATCCGTGGCCACGCGGTAAGGGGGTGCTAGAAGCTTGGATCAGGGGGGTGGGGAGCATCACGGGCAGCTTTAAGATTGTGCAAGGGCCTTCAGGAATAGTGAAACTGAAGCTAGGTGGAGCAAATCCAAAAGTCTGGTGCAGCAAGCACCCTTTCCCAAGGACAGGGAGATCTCCCCATCCAAGATATCCTGAAGAATGACCCCAGCTGGGTCATTCGGGATGCTGCTGTAGAGAGTAGGAGGCTTCATGTGCTGCCAGGGCCTCCCAGCTCTCCCCAACTGCAACTGCACTCACATCTTGTCATTTGGGTAATGACCACCGAGCCAAGAGGACAGACGCCAGTAGCTCTGACTGCTGTTTCCCCTTTGTGCTGGATTGAGACATATGTGTATGGATGCCCCATTCTAAGGACTCAGAGAATCTTGCACAGGATTGAAAATTGTAGCAGACTGGGTGCATTTCTTTAGATTCCCCTCCCATTCCCTAGAATTTAGGTTGTGTGGGTTTTCAAGTCTGGGAACTCAGCCTTTCTGCGACTTGATCTGTGTTGCTGTTCCCCGGGAACCGTTGCACCTAGGAGTATCTGCATTTCCTCCTCCTCTACTTAGTCACCTGGCCCTGGGGCCTTCCTCTTCTGGGGGAGGTGACCCCTGCCTGCCTAGCACTTCTGGACTCACTGAGCCTCACCAAGCAGTGACTGGACTAGGAGGCAGGACTGGGACCGGGCGCCAGACAGCTAGGGGGGTGAAGGTGGCAGGAGAGTGCCAGTCAGAGGTGCTGGGGCTGCAGAGTGGACTGGGTAATGGGGCTGGGCAGGCGGAAGTGCAGGGCCAGAAAACATCAGAATGCCAGTGGCCCAGAAAGACTTTCAGGAAAAGTATGCTTGACATTAGCTTCAAAAGGTCAGGAATGAAACTAAAGATGGAGGTGGAGTGAGGTTGAGGGAGGTCTTGGGGACACTGGGCAGTACCCAGGTCTGACCCGGGTGCCTGTACTTGCAGCGCTGGTTCTGGTTGGTGAGAGTTCTACTTAGTCTGTTCATAGGCGCAGAAATTGTGGGTGAGTGTGTGGCGCAGCCAGTGGGGAGAGGGCCTGGGGTGAGGAAGGAGGCGGGCAAAGCGCACCTGGGAAAATGGGGAACTGGGGTTGGTTTCTTACTCCCTCTTCCCACTCTCCAGCTATTTCTAGTGCCCACTCTTCAGCCCTTGCCATGCAACCACATTAGACCCCGTAGACCCCCATCTCTCTGCACAGTGTCCCACCTCCCATCACCACTCGCCTAATTTCATCTTCCCCGCCCCAATCTCCACCCCCACCTTGTGCCTCTCCCCACAGCCGTGCACTTCAGCGCAGAATGGTTCGTGGGTAGAGTGAACACCAGCACATCCTACAAAGCGTTCAGTGCAGCGCGCATTCGAGCCCACGTCGGTCTGCACGTTGGCCTGGATGGCATTAATATTACACTCAGAGGTGAGCGGGCTGGGGCGAAGTGAACTCCTGGGGCTTTGCGACCCCACTGTTTGGGGAGTGTGGCAGGGGTAGCTGGAGGACCTCTCACCTCACAGGCTCACAGGCTTTTGGGTCCTCCTGGATTTAAGTTCTCCCCAACCACCACCAAACCCATTTCTCCTGCGGTGGACACTCCACCCCCACGTTCCTATCTGAACCCGCTTAGTTGCGGGGTACTGGGCTGTGCTCAGCGCCATGACACTGCCTCTCCCCGCAGGGACCCCAGTGCACCAGCTGAACGAGACCATTGACTACAACGAGCAGTTCACCTGGCGTCTGGACGAGGACTACGCCGCAGAGTACGCGCGTGCACTGGAGAAAGGACTGCCGGACCCAGTACTCTACCTGGCGGAGAAATTCACACCCAGCAGCCCTTGCGGGCTGTACCAACAGTACCACCTGGCTGGACACTACGCCTCAGCCACGCTGTGGTGAGCTCTGGAGGGAAGGCTGTGTGTGTGTGTGTGTGTGTGTGTGTGCGCGCGCGCGCGCGCGGCAGCATGTGAGCCAGAGGATGGGGGTCTCCGAGAGGCGCTGCAGCTACAGCCCAACGCGCTCGGGGTGGGAATTACAGCCTTGCTGGGCAGAAGGTTACGAGGTCCGCACAGACCGTTGGAATCCAGAGAGACTCAGCAACCGCCTAGAGCCCGGGATTTCGCTTCTGCCCCGGGGATTCCCGTGCGCCTTCACCAGCCCAGCCCCGGGCTTCCGCGCTGGGGTGGAGACAGGGGAGCGAGGCTGTGGGAGCCCGGCGGGCTGGGAGAAGCCCGCTCACCGCCGGCCGGTGCCCCCCCGTCCGCCGCAGGGTGGCATTCTGCTTTTGGCTGCTCTCCAACGCGCTGCTGTCCATGCCGGCCCCGCTCTACGGGGGCCTGGCGCTCCTGACCACCGGCGCCTTCGCGCTCTTCGCTGTCTTCGCCTTCGCCTCTGTCTCCAGCGTGCCGTTCTGCCGGTTCCGCCTCGGCTCCTCTGCGCTCACCGCTCACTACGGCGCCGCCTTTTGGGTCACGCTGGCGACTGGTGAGGACCCGGGGGATGGGCCCAGAGAGGCTGGGGATGGGGACAGGATTTAGACCAGCCATGCTCTTTCCAGTTTACAAAAGTTCACATCTATTCTCTAATTTGCCCCTCTCAATAGTTCGTAGAGGAAGGCAGGCTCTGTTATGCCCATTTCACAGATGAGAAGAGGGGGTTCAGAAGGTTTCGGTATGTTGCCCCAGTTAGCACGCCAAGCCGTGTGCTTATCATGTAATGCATATTCGAGGTCTTTCTGCCGGAGGTGTGTGTGTCTGGGGAGGAAACGCGAGGGGCAGGCAAGGGTGTAGAAGGGCAGGCCGGGTGCTGGCCCGGAGCCCTGACACCCCGACTCCTTTCTTTCGGCTCAGGCATCCTATGCCTCCTCCTCGGAGGGGCCGTGGTGAGTCTCCACTACGCTCGGCCCAGCGCTCTTCGCATCCTTCTGTACCGAAGAGTCAAGAACCGCAGTAGGCAGGCGAGGGGGGCCTCGCCTTTCGTCCTCGACAACCCGCTGCACAGGCGGTGCGGGGCACCACACTTAAAGCTCTCCACTAACATATGAAGGCACCCCAACTCCGGACATTTTCCCCCCTTGGACCGCGCCGAGCCTGGGCCGGGAGAGCTCCGGGAGGGGCACTGCGCTGCCGGCGCGTAGGAAAAGGCAGGCGGCCTAGGACGTGTCGCCTGCACCGAGCAAAGTCTCCCGGAGCGAGCGAAAATAAACTTTTTTCTTTTGTTTAGATTTTTTTTTAATCCATTAATATCCATGGCTTCTCCGTGCTTTCGGGGACACACACCCTCGGGAGGCTTCGTTGTGCTGGAGACAGCCTAGCACACTTTATCCGATGTGCTCGAAAATGGATTCTCTGCGTCTGGAGAACCCAGAGTACCCAGGAAAAGCTCTGGGAGAGGGGGCGCCCTCTAGTGAGGCCAGAGGGGAACTGATCGGAGCCAGCGTGCCGAGCCGTCCCAGCTGGATGGTAGTTCTGTGACCAGTCACGTCGCCATCCCACCTGGATCCCCCTCCAGGGACCCAGCTGAGTGGACTGGGAAGGAATAGCGTTTTGATTCACCAACTCCTCCCACCTGGCTTTTTTGGGGGTGGTATCTGAGGGCCAAGGTAGATGTCAGCAAGGCATAAAAATATAAATCTCGGGATATTTTTTAGATCCTTAGAAAGTCCTACAATCTTTTAGCAAACTTGGGAACAAGCTCAAAGAGAATGTGGCACAGCTAATGTTAGATGAGAAGTTTGGTTTCTTCTTCCTTCCAGAGCTGTCTTTCATTGTACCAAGAGGTTACACAAACCTGGGAATTAAAAAAAGAGCAAAAGGGACCCAGGAAAAAGGAAAAGTGCTGAGGAGTGAGAGGGACCCCAGGAGAATCAGACTGTAACCCCCCTGTTCCCCTCACATACATTGTGTGGGTGAAGGTAGGTTTCAGTGAATGGCACCTTGTAAAAGCAAAGCATTAAGGAAAGGCAGGGTTGCTGTGCAGAAACAGGGGCATCTCTGCTTGGTCTTACCATGGCAATGGGCTTTATGGGCAGGCCTAACATCTTTTCAGCACCTTAGGGATTTTTATTTTGCTTTGAAGCTGGCGGCCACCCTGAGGGCAGTTCTGATGGTTTTATGGGGCTCCAGCGAGGTCTGGAGCCAGAATGGAAGTCCAGGTGAACATTGGCGAGAGGACCATTACAGGGCACAGACAGGTTCTCTGCGGTGCCCCTCCTTACGGCATGCCTCGGAGGAAGCCTCTGACAGAGGAATGTCCTGGGGCTCGGGACTCTCAGCCATAGACCGGTAGCGAGGGCTCAGGAGTCCCCCTTCCTCAGGACTCCACTCCAGCATGGGGTTTGCATCTGAACTCAGGTTGAAGAAAGCCTTCAGCCTGTGGGGCTGCATCCTGTGGGTCACCGCCACAGACAGGCCCAGCAGCACACACAGCAGTCCTGGGGATGAGGGCAACAGGTGTCCCGCCTTAGTGCTAGTAATGCCCTTCCAAGGACAGCTAGGAGCATCAGAACAACTCTTAAGGGAGGGGAAGGCAGGGCAGGACACAGATGTGGAGGCATGGGGAGGGGGTAGACACAGAGGGACAGGAGAAAAAAACTTCAGGACAATTTAGGGCTGTGTGAGACAAGGACAGAGAAGGGTTCTTAGGAATGGGGACACAGAGAAGGGTTTTGGGGGGAAGTAGGAGGGGACATGGGTTGGAAGATTTTGGGATGAGCTGGGTGATGAGAGAGTTAGGGGACAAGGGACAATGGAGACAAAGAGAAGATATGGGGGAGTGGGTATATACGAGGAAAGAGGGGAAGAGGTACTGAAGAGAGAAAACCAGGAGAGAAGGATAGAAGAGGGATGGGGCTTTAAAGTGAGCAAAGGCATCCTGGTTCCCAGAAGCAGACAGTAAACCCCACCAACATGATTGTCCCTGGCCCTGAGCCCACCATGCCTGTGTTTAGGGCTGGGTTTCACCTGTGGTCAGTGTGATCCAGAAGGCAGACCCATGGTGAGTGTGCAGCACAGCAGTGCCCAGGTGCAGGGGACAGGGTGGGGTAAGTGATGTGGCCGTGGAGAAGAAGATCAATGCTAACAGCTGGAAGATGCCTGTGGCCAGCAGCATGTGGCCACCGTAGACTAGCACGGGCATGGACAGCATCACATTGGCCAGCAGCCAGCAGAGGAATGCCACCCTGGAGAGCCAGGACTCAGTGAGGACTGACCCAGGCACCTCTACCTTCCAGTGAAGCTGGAGGGGTCCAGGCAGAAGCTGAGGGACCCAAGCATGACCCAAAGATGTGAGGTAGGGATTCCTGCCTGTGGCTTTCCCAACCAAGCATCGTGGTGACTGGTGCCAGTCAATCCCACCCAGTTAACCACATGAGTGGAAGAGAGATGGGTACAAACCCTGTTCCTGAGTCTAGGCCAGCAGCAGGGTCTCCCCCAATCCCCTTCCCACCCTCACCACATTGTGGCTGAGGTGTAGTGTCCTGCCAGGCGGTACTGGCGGTGCAGGCCACATGGGCTTCCGGGAGTGAACTTCTCAGCCAGGTAGAGCACAGGGTCCGGCAGCCCCTTTTCCAGTGCCTTTGCATACTCCTCAGCATAGTTCTCGCCCAGGCGCCAGGTGAACTCCTCGTTGTAATTGATGGTCTCATTTAGCTGTTGCACAGGGGTCCCTAGGGAAGGAGGCAGCTGTGCTGAGCAAGGACTCAAAAACCGGAGTGAGGCATTTGCCTGGGTAGGGACTCACCCACACTGGGCAGAGGGACAGGAGCCGCTCTCAGTAGAGAATGCAGCTTCCAAGGCTCTGAACTTCCCTTCCTGCCATCCCTCCAGTGCCCACACATCCTCTTGGCCCCAGTGCCAAGCATGCTGCAGATCTTTGAACCACACCAAACATAGATCCCAAAGACTCAGCACAGCCTTCCCTTCCCTCACGGGGAAGAGCCCTCCCTCACCTGTGAGCGTGATGTTGACTCCTCCCAGCCCGACCTGCAATCCAACATCGGCGCTGATCCACTCGGAACTGAAGGCCTTATATGATGTGTTGGTGCTGACCTGGCCCACAGACCACTGAGAACTGAAATTCACAGCTGGGGGTGGGGAGTTGGACATATGGGAACTCAAGGAGGTCCAGGCATAATTGGGTTAGAGTCAGAAGGAGAGCTACAAGGGGTCTATGTGTGTTTCGATTATAATTGTATACCCTTTCACTCGTCCAGGGTCTGGCTCATGGTAAGTCTGCCAACCATAAGTGTAGGATGAGTAAGTGGGTCAGAATCCAAGATTTCCCTTGGTCACACTGCTTACCCCTTCTCTCCCTTTCTCCCCTTTTATGAAGAGTCACTCAAGCAGCTGAGGGAGGAAGTGTTAACGTAAACCATGATGGGCAAACACAGATAGCTTCAACATAGAGACCTTCCATCTCTCCTATTTGCCTAATCACCAAAGCAAAACAAGCAGCCTCCGCTTCTGTCTCCAGAGGCCCTCTCCCCACAGACATTCCTTGTGACCTGCTTCCCCCTGAATAAAATGTTAGGAAAGTTGAAGAGATGCATCCAGCATGGTTTCCTGGGGCCCATACTGCTCTGGGCAAGGGTAAAGGTGAGGGGATGAGGCCATAGTAAAAGAAGTGTGTGGAAAAGGTCTGGAAGCCACCCTGAAGCAGGGGCTGCTGTGGAGACACAAGGCAGGGGCTGCTATGGGAGGGTCCTTGACAGGATGGAGGCGGGTGCCCAAGTCAGCTGCACTTCACACTCACCCAGGATCACAGCCCCGATGAATAAGCTGGTCACCACCCGCAGCAGCCAGAACAGCCTCTGAGTCATAGGGTGGGTGGGTTTAGTAAGAAGCGCTCTCCTTCCAAGTCTGCCCTTCCTCTTTCCAGACTTGGGGGAGAGGCAGGGATCCTAAAACTGAGGTCACTTGGTCAATTGGGATCAGAATGTCTGGCACATATAGGTGCTTGATAATTATCTGTTGAGTCAATGAATGGGGAGCTCTCTGCTGGGGTGGTGGTGGTGGTGATGCTTTCTTAGCACTGGAGTCTTTTCTGAGTCTGGTTATAGTCAGAGAGTCTGGACCTCTCACCCTGAGGCTGAGATCTCTTTGGGGCTGGGGTCTCCAGGGCTGAGTTTGTTTCTCACCATTTTGCCCCGAATGCCAGGCAGGATGACGATGAAGGTGACCAGTGCAATCAGAAAGATGGTGATGATGATGGCCAAGGTGGTGTCCATTGGGAAGGTTGGCTTGGGGCCAGCATAGAAGGGGAATGTGTGTCCGAAAGCAGCCATTTTGATGGGGTGTGCAGGGGAGGCCATGCTGTACAACAATGGATATTTATTGAGTGCCCTCTATGTACCAGGCACTGTTCTTAGTGCTGGAGATACAGCAAAGAATAAACCAGACCCTGTTTACTCTTTTCTGGAGCTTACCTTTTAGTCCCTCACCAGATGCCACTGTTACTGTCACTACACTGCCCCTCATCCATCTGTCTCCCCATCTTTTGGCTGTGACATCATGAGGGTGTTGGTAATCAATCTCTGTTGCCCCATGCTCCCTTCCTAACCCCAAGGTCTCCTAAATCAGTGCCACCACCACCCTTGAGGTTTCTCTGTTTCTTCTGGGATTATCTCAGAGATATAATACTCTTTTATCTCCATTAGGTCTCTGGCACAAGCAGATAAATATCAGAACATAAAATAGTATATTTACTATCAAGTGAAGGCATAAGGTTGAAAGATGTTATAGATTACAAAAAGACTGGCTTTCTTTTTCAGTCCCCAAAGGAACAAAGGACAGAAAGCTCTGGTAATTGTAAACCGACTTCAGCATCAGAGGACTGATTCCCAGACCTGGCACTGCCCACACTGGTCTGTCCAGCTTTCTCAAGTACCCTCCCTGGCTCCTGTTCTGGCAACTCCAGAACAATTGAGCTTGAGTTCACCTGACTAAGCACTGAAGGGTCATTCACCCTCCACCATGCACAGTGCTGGGGCCAGATGTACTTCTGTTCCACACATCATCGACATTGGCCCTTCTCTTCTATCCAAATCCCCAGGCCATGTTTCAGCTCAAATCCTAGCTTTGGTCTTCTCTGCCCCTCCCCTGATCTCAGAGCTTGTTTGACTCTAGTTTGTTCTTTTGCAGACAGGATATTGGGAAAAAGGTACCTGAACTTACTACGTTTAGTTAAATCTCAGAATGGATTGCAAGATACTTTATTACTTTAAGTACCACAAAGAAAGAAAAAAAAAAAAAAGGTACTGCCAATTAAACCATGACAGCCATTTCTTGTAAGGCACACTCCAATTTCAGAGATGTCAAAAAAAAAAAAAAAAAAGCATCTTAGAATCAATAATCAGTTCTATAGTTTCCTTAACTGTGATCTGTCCTGGTGCCTCAGTTGGCCCAGGAGGTGCCATAATTTAGTCTAACCATGCAGTGTCATATTAAGCAATATAGTGAAAGAATAAGATTTGGAGTCAAGCCCATTTATCTCTTTTTCCAATCTTTCTTGGAGAGAACCCTGGGATGGAATCAGTTCTGGGTCTAGTTTCAGTTCTTCACTCCCTAATATTATAACGTTGGACAGGTAAGTGACAACCTCCCTGGTCCTTGGTTTCTTCATCTGCGATTGGATATGATAATCTACAGGTCCCTTCTAGTTCTAATGCTGGGGTTCTCCTACAATACTCCCCAGCTCCCAGCCTTTCCCTCTCCTTCTAAGCTGATCACCTCCTTTTGCTGTCTTTGGGGATAGCATGGTGTCAGGAAAAGAAGCAGAGAGACAGTTTTAACTTTTTTTTTTTTTCATTTTTTTTGTCTTTTTTTCATGACCGGCAACGGATCGCAACCCTCAGTGTCGTGCCTGTACCGGACCGGGACCGGCAACAGGATCGCAACCCTCGGTGTTGTGCCCGCACCTCGCTCAGCCAGTGAGCGGCTGGTCTGTATATGGTATCCGAACCCTCGGCGGGAGCGGTGCCACACTCCCAAGCGGCGCACTGTAGCAGTGCGCCACCGGGCCGACCCCCAGTTTTAACTTTTAATTCTGCTTTCTGGGCAAGTCACATAACCCCTGAGTCTCAGTTTTAAGATGAAGTTTTTGCTTTTTTCTCAACTGTTTAAAACTCTCCCATCCCAGAGGAACAGATGTCTTTCTTCTCTCCAATTCTACGAATCCATCCTCCTGGGTCCTACCCCACTCCTGCCTGCCTTCACCTCCTTTACCACCAGGTATCTCCTTCCTTTCCCTTCATAGCGTTTCAGCTCCTCTTTCTCTACTGGCTCCTTCTCCCAAGGATATGCTTAAATTTTTTTCATCTTAAGAACCCAAAGAACAGGAACCTTCTCCCTTGATCTTCTTGGTCCCCTCTAGCCACCATCCTATCCTACTCTTTCCTTTTCATAACCAGGCTTTTAGAAAGAATAGTCTGTATTGGTATTTCCACTACTTATCCTTTCAACCCACTGCAATCTGACTTTTCCCTATCCCCGCCTTCTCCATTAGGTCACTACATGTTAAATCCGAAGAGAAGTCTTCACTTTTCATCCTTCGTGACCTCTCTGTGGTATTTGACACTGCGGACCATACCATCTTTCTTCAAACTTTTCCTCCTTGGGCCTCCATAACACCGTGTTCTCCTGGGTCTCCTGCCTTCAGCCATCCCTTTCTTGGTTCCTTCACTAGTTCTTCTTCCTAACTATTAAATATTTATACTCTTCAGGATTCTGCCTTGGCTCCCTTCTTTTAGCTCTATTCAAGATTTCCTGGGCAATCTCTTCTATCACCATAGCTGATGGGTGTCAAATGTCTCCAGGAAGAACTCCTACCTGGGCTCTGAACTCAAAAGGGCCAACTACCCCGTGGACATTTTCACTTGCATGTTTCCTTGATGCCTCAAATTTAACAGGTGCTAAATGGAATTCACTGTCTCTACCCTGCTTTTTATTGTTTGCTTTGTCTCTTTGGCAGCATTACCACTCCATAAATCAAAGAAGCCAGAGACCAGGACCATTTTACCTTCTAAATATTTCTTGACACTTTCCATGCATTTCCTTCCCTATTGCTCTGCCCTAATTCAGCCTCATCCTCTCTTGCCTGGTGTCAGAATAATTTTTCTTTTTTTTTTCTATTTTTAATTTTTTGAAAAAGATGACCGGTAAGGGGATCTTAACCCTTGACTTGGTGTTGTCAGCACCACGGTCTCCCAAGTGAGCTAACCGGCCATCCCTATATAGGGATCTGAACCTGCGGCCTTGGTGCCATCAGCATCGCACTCTCCCAAGTGAGCCACGGGCCAACCCAGAATAATTTTTCTAATAAGCAAATATAATCATTTATATTTGAAGAAGGTAAAATTTAATCTTCTTACTATGACACATAAAGTGCTTTGTGATCTTGTACCACCTATCTCTCCATCTCCATCTTTTGTCCAGTGTAATCTATAGCCGTACTGAACTACTAGCCTCTCCCTGAATCTGACATGCTCTCTAAGCCTTCATGCCCTGGTGTATGCTGTTTCCTCTGCCTAGAATGCTCTCACGCTCTTGGCAAATGCCTTTCACCCTTCAAGTCTCAGCTCATATTACGTCTCTGTGAAGTCTCCTCTGAGGCTAGTGGGCCAGTGTGGATGTTTTAACATTCTGATTTCATTTGGACATACCTTTATGATACCTGTATTCTAATTGTTTGAACATCCATCTCCCTGTTAGTCTCAAATCTCCTTAAGGGCAGGGACTTTATCTTTCCATCTTTGCATCCTCTGCACGTTGCATATACTAATCAGGCTCTACATCAAGTGAATGAATATGAATAAGTTCCTGTCCGGACAGGTGGCTTCTTCTGATTTTGCACACAAGAGGGAGCTATGCTCCCCAGTTGCCCTATACTACTGTATACGCTTTCATTCAACATTAACTGAGTATGACCAATACAGGGCTAAGGACTGGGAGAGAAGGGATTTGACTAACCCTGTCAATATTTAGTGATTTCCTAAAATTTTCAGAAAGCCTATTCCAATAGTTGGAGTCTCTAAAACTAGTAAAGACCCAAGATAAATGTTCATGTTTAATCAAATCTGAAATATACATTTCAACCCTAGCTGAAGATGTGTAATTAAGAATTGTGGATTAAATTATTATTATTTAAAATTTTTTTTTTTTTTTTTTGGTGGCTGGCTGGTATGGGGATCTGAACCCTTGACCGTGGTGTTATAACACCACACTCTAACCAACTGAGCTAACTGGCCAGCCCAAATTAAATTATTTCGTGAAATATGTGATAGTGATATTTATTTTAAAGCAGATGTTTTTTGGTCAAAGAATTTTGCCTTTTCTTTTTCTTTTTTGGTGGTTGACCAGTACAGAAATCGAAACTATGACCTTGGGGTTATAAGACTGCACATCTAAGAATTTTTTATTTATGACATCTATACAGAAGCCATTATATTTTTTATAAAATGTTTTAGCCTGTTTTGTGTTGCTATAACAGAAATACCTGAGACTGCGTAATTTATAAGGAAAAGAGGTTTATTTGGCTTATGATTCTGAGACAGCTGCATCTGGCATGGGCCTCAGGCTGCTTCTACTTGTGGCAGAAAAGTGGCAGGCACCCAGTAGGTACAAGTGGATCACATGGCAAGAGGAAGCAAGAGAGAGAAAGAGGAGGTGCAAGGATCCTATAAACAACCAGCTCTCATGGGAACTAACAATGAGAAATCACTCATTACTCCCCTCTCCCCCAGGGAGAGCATTAATCCATTCATAAGGAATCTGCCCCCATGACTCAATCAGTTTCCAACACTGCCACATTGGAGATCAAATTTCCACATGAGTTTTGGAGGGGACAACACATCCAAACTCCATCATAAAATGCTATAGGAGGAAGTGCTATAAAATGTAGAATATCTTGGTTAACCAGATAGGAAGATAAAGCAAGGCTGTTAATAGCAAGAACACGTGTTATATGCTGGAATTTCAAAAATAAATATTTTCAATTTAAGCAAATAATAAATAATGTAATATATTTTGGTCAGGGTCACATATTAGTATTATTCCTGCATTTGTTTCAAAAGGAGCTTATAAAAAAATTTACAAGAATGTCTCATCTCTATTAACATGGTGGTTCAAAGAAACACTAACAAAGGCTTTCTGTATCTTAAGTATAGAGGAACAACGTTAACTTATTCCAATTCTCCAAAATACTTATTAAAGATGACTAAAGCAAAACGACAGTTGCTTAATTTCTTCTTCTTGTTCATGACTTAGGTCTTCTTTAATCTACATTGCCTAATTTAATGTTAATTTTTCATGACCCTGATCCTAATTTGGTTTTCATTATTGAGCTAATAGGGCTCCTGCATGAAGAGGTGGAACTGAAGTGAAAATTTCCTACACCCTACAAGCCTATTTTCCTACAAAGCTTGTGTTTCTGTCAGGAACATCTTTCTCTCTGGCTTGACAAGTGGGGTCTGACAGAATTAATTCTAATCTGAGAATATCTCTTGTCAATATTAACTTGACCCGCTTCTTCCCTAGCTCACCACTATGACTGGTATATATACAAAATGTATATTGATATAAATAAGCAGACACAAGATCCAGTCAAACATACACCTATAAGTTTATGCAAACAGAAACACAGACACAAGAAAGAAGCACCCAGACTCTCTCTTCTCAGTAACACAAAGACACCTATGTTACTCCATTAGAGTGACAAAACTAGGATGGTTTCTTACGGGGGTGGGCTAATTCCCACATTTTCTCACCTGGTCTGGGGTGGACAGGAGCACCATTCTCCCTTTCTGGACTTCCTTTAAGTATTGAAGGCTTTCCTCACGCTCATTTGTATTTCAGACACAGGTACCCAAACCCAATCCCTACCTACCACAGGATGAGGAGGGGTTCCTGTGTGTTTATGAGGGGCAGGTAAGAGATAAAGTGACGATCTTTAAGAACACTCAGCCTACAACAAGCTCCCGTCTTCATCGTTCAGTTATGTGCGTTGTTAGTGCACTGATACCTCTCTTGCAGCTTGACCAGACTTTTCTTCCTGAAGCCTTCCCCCTGCCCACCTCCCTGATGTTCTGGAACTCATGAGTAAGAACAACTAATTCTCTACAAAGGGGGAGTGGGTGACAAGCCTGGAGTTGCCTAGAGTTCTGACTGGTGATGCATATCTATTGGAATGTGATGGCTTATTTCTCTGGTTGGAGTAGACCCCATTAAAAGTTTACAGCTCTGGCCGGCTAAGAAGACCCTGTCAGGAACTCCTGTCCTAGACTTTCCTCTTCAGGGAAGGGGTGTGTGTGTGTGTGTGTGTGTGTGTGTGTATGAATATGTGTGTGTTGTTGCACTAAAGGGGGAGTTACTGGAGAAATAGAATAAGATCTGAAAAGTGGGGTGGGGTAGGATTCCCCAGTAAGTTTGATGTGGGAAAGGAGCTCAGGGGTGCAGAATAATGCCAGCCAAACTATCCAGACTCCAGTTAAGCTGGGGTAAGGATTTCATGTCTGTAAACCTCGTGGCGTTTATGGCCTAGTAGGTTTCCCTTGCCTCCTTAGTTTCTTACCAAAGTTTCTCTTTGAAGAACTCCCACTAGATCTGAACCTTGTCTGGGGGTAAGCAGGTAGTGCGCCCCTAGGGGCCGGGGCGGGGGCAGCACTTCAAAGCCCTTTCCAAACCCACGCAGACAGACCGCACAGACCCCAGCAGCCGTATCCCTCGCCACCCACACCCGGACCAGAGTTCCCTACCTTCTCCTCTTCCACACAGTGCGTGCGTGGCAGCCCTCGCCGCTGGCCTCCTCCTGTGGAACCTCGCACGCTGCGCTCCCGGCGGTGGGAGTAGGGAGGGAACCAGGTCCAGACGTTCTGTCACCAGAAGCTCGAGCTTTCTTTTGGCGGGGCTCCCTTCCAACCCTCACTTCTCTCCGAACTCACTTAAGGACCAGGCTGTGACCGGACAAACCGGGTCTGGGGTGCTTCCCCGCCCCCCACATCAAGGCACTCCCAGCCTTCTCAGACCGCGCCCCAGGCCCTCAGCGCTGCCTCTCACCTGCCGCCTCCGACAGAGGGGCGGGTGCTCGAGGACCCTACTACCCTTACGTCCGCCCCTCCGCAACCATCCCTCCCATCCCTCCGACCCCTCCTTCTCCCTCCCCCACTCCCCCGTCCCCATGCCCCGCACCCCGGGCAGCTCCAGCGCAAACCTAGCTATGCACTTCCGGATCTGGCCGGGCGCCGGCGCGGCTCGCAGGGCTGTGAGACCCCCTAGATCTCAAGAGGAACCCCGGGAGGAAGGGTTACCACAGACTCTTAGAGGGTCTAGGACGGACGGATGCGTTGCTTTGACGCCTGGCTAGGTTTGCGGGCGCTGGCCGATCCTCTTGGTCACAGAGCCCAGACCGACGGTGTGGAGAGGATTTGGGGAGACCCCGTGTCCCACACCCTCTCCGTCTTCCGTCCTCTCCCAGCCACGTCGGACTTGCAGAAGCAGACTTGCCCTTTTCGCCGCCCACATGGCCGCACTAGCAGAGCGCTCGGCACGAACGGGACATCCCCACCTGAGCCCTGCGAGCCCACGCCGTCTCACCTTGCGCGCTTCGGAGCACCTCGGCGGGTTCCGACGAGTCGGCTTCAGTCCCGCCCCCCTGCGCCCCGCCCCGCCTTAGAGCCGGGACACGCCGTGCTCTGTTCACCCCCAAGCTCCGCCCGCCCCGGAGCAGAAGTGAACAGGCAACCGGCCGAGAACGGGCTTCGCGGGCCCAGCTGGGAGCCAATCCGCCGCCCAGAGCTCCGGCGACTACGCGGGCTGCAGGTCAGATCGGGGGCTTCTCCTGCCCGCGGGCCTGGACGCTCTGGGGGTAAGAGCTCTAAGGGTAGGGCCGCGGTGAGGTGAGCCCCAGCTCTGCCACTTTTTGAGGGAAGGGGAGTTCTAGCTCCCCTGCACCTCGATCTTATCCTAAAGCTAAAACAGGCCCATAAGGGTCTGTCCTCTGCCCTACCAAGGTTTTGGGAAACTGGGTTCTTCAGAACTTGGGAATGTTGGGTGGCCTAGTTTGCTTGGGCCCAGGGGATCTCCTCCTGGCCCCAGAACATCATGCCGAGAAAGGAACTTTGGGCTTTTAGGGTCCAGGTTTTCCCCCTCAGCCCTCCTTCGGGACCAGGATGGAATCCTGGGCCTTGTCTCATCTTCCCCAACCCCAGGGCCACTGGGCTCACCACTCTAGGGCTGGAAAAGTAGCCATGTGGGGCAAGAACCTGGCAGGACTGTGTTCTCTCCCTGTTCTGCCAGTGCCTGGAGCTTCATTACCCTGTCCTGGGGTTGTGCCTTCCGTTCAAGGTTGTTGGGAAGTTACTGCACCTATATTGTTGAGTAAATTGTTAAGAGCTACCCACCCACAAAAAGTGGTTATTCATGCCCACCTTCCTCTTCAGGTAGTCCCCATAGCCTGGCCTGAAAGCCTCCTGCAGGCCCTTAGGGGATGAATAGTAATTAGTGTTTGGGGCCCAGGATCCTGAAAGTATGGTGGTAGGGTGGAAGGGGCAGGACATCTTGGATTAGGGAAGGATCCTAATCCAAGGATCCTTGGCCACTTCAGTATGTCCGGCCTTACAGCTTCAACCATCCAGAGCCCATCTGTTCATATACTATCAAAGGCCAGCATCTGGACAGACTCTGTGGGGTGGAAGAGGTGAAATACTGAGCTTTTGAGTTATGGCAGGGCCTAGGTTTTCTTGTTATGGGAGACGGAGAGTGGGAATGAAGTCACTCCCTGAAGTTCTCTCTTCTGTGACCAGACCACCTGTCCAGGAACCCTGAGGTTTGGATGGAGATAAGGCTCTCCCTGAGCCCCCACCTTCCTCCATCCTACCCCAATCTTCAGGTTGCCTTTAGGAGGTCTTCACTGGCCTTGGACACTGCTGGCACCACTTAGGAGTTCCAATCTGAGTCTCTTGCTGCCTGTTTCCCTGTTGTTCCTGCGTGGTTGGTTGGCTTAGGGAGAGAGAACAGAAAGCCAGCACTAAACACTCGAGCACCTGGCACTGGATTCTTTCTGAGTTCACCTAAAGGAACCAAGCTGCAGCCTACCCTCTCTGTATCACGTTTGCATAACATCTGTCACTTTTCTTGCTTTGAATTCAACCTCATTCTTACATCTGATTCTGGCAACCACATGGGAAGTAAACATTGGGGCATACTCACTCCCATAGCCAGAAGAGCAAACCAAGGATCAGTTGGATAAGTGGCTTGCCCAAGACTCTACAGTGGACTGGCAGCCCAGTCTCCTGACCCCCAAGCAAGGGTATGTAAAAGGAACACACTCTGTGGGAAGCTGGGCCAAAGCAAGCTTTTCCAACTAATCTTAGCCTTCTAAGATTAGAGGACTTTACCTTTAAAGTCCATGAAGGCAGGGATTTCTGTTTGTTTTGTTCATCACTTAACCTCCAGGGCCTAGGCTGGTGCCTAGTACATAGTGGGTGCTCATCAAGTGTTTGTTGAATTGTTGCTTTGCCCCTACAGATTTGTCACCCCTCTTCCCCTGGGTGACAGAGCTGCAAAGGATTACTCAAAGCCAATCTCTTCTGAGCAGTGAGAAGCCCCAAAGTGGTTAATTTTCCAGAACCCTCAAGAGAGAGGCATCCCTTTCATTTGGGAAATTAACCACGAATTGGGGTTCTCTTCCCACATTTATTCTTCAGACCAGGAAGTTACAGGAAGAGAACATAGGTGGGCTTAAAGTTTTAACAAGTTTAACAATAGAAGCTGGTAACATTCAGTAAAAACAAGTCAGATGACATTCCATTAGGCAATTAAGTGATCCACCAACAAAAGCTTGATCTTAGCAAACATCTTACAGCAATTTCCCAGTATCTTTACATATCAATCAGTAACCTGTCTGTCTTTGAGCCAGCAGCCTTGCTGTGTTACAACTCTTCATCTTACAACAGAGACTCAATAGCCTGGGGAAAATTTCCTTTTTTTGTAAGGTCAATGTTTGAAACTGCCAGGCTTTGGAAAACCAGGCACTGTGAAGTACATTTGTTTTATAGTATACTCCACATTGAAAGAATCTTGGGAGAGAATGTCTCTTACTCTTTACTATGCACTGTGGCCTTAGCCCAGCCCTAGTCCTTGATTTATAGGGATCTGCGAAGGTCTTGGCCCAATTCTCCTGAACAGCTGGGGCTCATTTTCTCTCTCCTCTCTTTTTCTAGGGTCTCCATTTTTGTATATTCTAACACCTGAGCCCCTATTGTCATTTTCACCATGGACTGCTGCCTGGCTCTGGCATGGACACTCTTGGTTGGGCCTTGGACACCCATGGGTGAGTACAGATTGGAGGAGAAGCACAGGTAGCAGCAGAGGAATCCAGCATCCCCTGTGCTCCCTAAAGGAAAGGAGCTGTGTAATATTCATTTCCGTGTCCTTAGTCCCTAGCTAACACAGTCCAGTGCCCTGCATGTGATAGGTGCTCCTTTCAGGCTGTTGAATAAATGAATGGGTAATGGAATAAAAATTATCCCTAAATACACAGAGTTAGGGAGCCTTCACCTGCTGTTTCACCACTTCCTGTCTTATTCCTTTCAGTTCGTGGGAACTTTCTCTCTAACTTCTCTTTTTTTCCATAAAGTAAGGGCTCTTGACTCAAAATAGGAAAAGATTGATTAGACCCACAAAACAATAAAGGATCTTGGGGTCAGATTGGATCCAAAGCTGAAGGGGGGTCAACACAGTGTTTTAAAACAGTATGATCCAAAACAAAGACAATATGATCTATGAGTTTCATCTAGCTACCTTCAGCTTGGACAGTCCCTTACTAAAAACTGAGGCTGTTTTCTGTAGTCTGGGTCTCTGAGGAGGGAAGTGGGCTTAAGGTGCCACAAATTAGGTTAAGAAGGACAGGTCCCTGATCATTAGGGGTGAGAGATGTAAAAACAGGAAGCAGAGAAAACCTATGAATGATCCGTCCTGGCTAGAAGTAACAGGATGGTGACATGGCAGCTTCTCCCTTGCCAGAGCTGCTCACATTTGCATTCCTTCCAGTCCACTCCTTTTCTTGGCCTTGGATTTTCCATTTCCCCTCCAACTCTTGCTTCTTATCCCCAAGAGGCACTCTCCCTGTGCCCTCCCCCAAAGGCTCCCTCCTTGTTCTGCTGCCAGTTCATCTTAGAGGTCACATGTATGTGGCTGCCCTAGTCCCTGCCCCAAGTCCTGGATCCTTAGCTGGGGTTTTTGCTCAAACATCAGGGCCTGAATCATTTTCCCTCCTTGACCCCCTGGTGAGTGAGTGTGTGTCTGTGTGAGTGCATGCGGGGTAGGAGGGTAGTTCAGAGATCTTGTCCTTGATGTGAGTGGGGAAACAATCAAAGGAATGGCTGTCCCTCTGGCAAAGAGTCCTTTGCTTTCCTTTGTTCTCTGAAGTGAGCAGAGAGGGAACCTTAGCCCTACAGCCTCCTAGTTTGGGGATAAGAATCTGGCTGGTCATCAGGTCTGCTAGCCACAAAGATTCCTATCCCACCCCTCACGTTGGACCCCTCCCTCTGTCCCCCTTCCTCAGCTCTTCCTCAACAGCCGAGTGCTCCTTCCTGGACCCTAGTTTTTGGAGAGTACAATAGGATTGAAAGGAGGAATTATATGGGGACAAGATGTCCCAAAGAGGAAAGGGGCAAGGTCATCCACATGACCAGTCCAATCCCTGGACCCACCCAGGAAACTGGGAAAAAGACCAGAGTAGCAATACCACACCCCTACCTACCCTGGGCTCTGCTAAGTGGAAGAGGGCCGGGCCTCTCTCCACAGCCCCTGCCCAGGGATGGGTCACAGAATGACATGTAGTTCACTGGTATGGGGTGTGGCTGGCTTATGCTGTATATGGTATCTGAAGGATGTTTTCTGTCCGGCTGTGTCCCCTCACCCCCACCCCCACCCCCAGGGAGCTGAAGTAGCAGAGGGGAGTAGAATAGAAGGCATCTCTATCTCCACTGTTCTCCTCCAGCTCCCTCTTCTCTGAGGCCATTTGTCAGCACCCTGATGCACTACTTGAGTGCTCCCTGCCATGTCTCCCCCACTGAGAGGCTTAAAGATGGGCCCTAGTTTCTCCCTCTGCACCTTACCTCCTCCATCTGTGCTGGGTGTCTCCTTTCTGCCGCTTCAAGTGCAGGCCTGCCTGTCCTCTCACACACTGACTTGCTCAGCTGCCCCCTTCCCTCCATTCTCACACAGGAGCTCAGAACCCCATCTCATGGGAGGTGCAGCGTTTCGATGGGTGGTACAACAACCTCATGGAGCATCGATGGGGCAGCAAAGGTAGGTGAGAGCCAAGTAGGGACAGTTTGTGATACCCACCGCTGGGGGGGCAAGGGCTGGCAGGTAACAGCAAAGGCCATCCATGTCTAAGGTTTTAGGAGGGAAGCCTGGGAGAGAGGAGGTTAAGAATTCCCCCTGAGGATTCATCCTTGTCCTTACCCCTCCTACCCCAGGTTCTCGGCTGCAGCGCCTGGTTCCAGCCAGCTATGCAGATGGCGTGTACCAGCCCTTGGGAGAACCCTACCTGCCCAACCCCCGAGACCTTAGCAACACAGCCATGAGGGGCCCTGCAGGGCAGGCCTCCCTGCGAAACCGCACAGTGCTGGGGGTCTTCTTTGGTGAGGACCTCGACCTCTGGGGGAGGAAGACCAGTGGGGTCAGCTGGACACCTGTGTGTGAGGAGGGGTCAGGGAATGAAGAGAGAAGTAAGGGAGAGTCTGAGAGATGGGGGTGAGAGATGGTGAAGGAGGTGACGTGGTGGGGTCAGGGTGGAAGCAGAGGGAGGGAGGATCCATGCTGAGGTGAAGTCTGGTTGGGGGAGGCATAAACCTACCTCATGAACAAAGATGAGGGGTGAGGGGAGGGAAAAGGGGCATCCCTCCATGTTGGGCTGTTGGTGGGGGTGAGGGTAGAGGCAGGACCAGGAAAACAGTGTGGGCTGGCTGGTTAGCTCAGTTGGTTAGAGCACAGCCTTGTAACACCAAGGTCACAGGCCAAAAACAAAAAGAAAACAATGTGGTAGGGGCTGTCCACGGGACCCTGTTCTCACTCTTTGCCCCCATGGTTCCCTGGACAGGCTCAGAGCAAGGTTCTGATTCTGGCAGAGAGGGCTGAGGGAGGACAAAATGGGGCTGGCAGGGCAGCCTCATGCCAGTGGGGTGGAGGCTAGCCCCGGAGAGATGCCTGGCTCCTGCTGGCCATCTGGCTGCCTGTGCTTGCTCCCCAGTGTCTGAGTTCCCGCTGAGGCTGGCAGGCCCTCTAGGCAGGCTCCCAGCTGCGTGCTGGAGCTGGTGCTGCCAGCCCGTTTGCCTAGGCACACTCACTGGGCACCTCCCAGTTACCAAGGAGAAGGCCAAACTGCCAGTGTCAACAGCTTGGATCAGGTGTTGGCACAGCCAGCCAGGAGAGACAGGATTTGGAGGGAGTGCAGGAGGTCAAGGCTTGGACTTGCCCTAATGGCTACTGAGCGTTTTGAAGCTTCAGGGGAGGGAGGGAGACTAGATACCCAGGAGAGTGGCCCTCAGCTGGCCCTCGCACCCCCTCCCTCATTGTGGGCAGGCTACCACGTGCTCTCGGACGTCGTGAGTGTGGAGAGACCCGGCTGCCCTGCCGAGTTCCTCAACATCCACATCCCGCGGGGAGACCCCGTGTTCGACCCCGACAAGCGTGGGGACGTGGTGCTGCCCTACCAGAGGAGCCGCTGGGACCCCGAGACCGGACGCAGCCCCAGCAACCCCCGGGACCTGGTGAGGCCAGGCAGGCGGGAGGGGGCCTGGTTCGGGGCAGGGCAGGGCGTCCCAGCTGGGCAGCAGGGTCCAAGCAGGGAAGAGGTCATGCAAATAAGGGGCGGAGGGTGTTTATGCAAATGAGGAGAGCCACTCCTCCACAACAGGAGGGCGAGCCTGAGGTCCAGATGCTCACACTTTGTGCTGGTCTACCCTAAGTGGACACCTGCGCAGTGGCGACACTGAGAAGACAGAGAGGACGGTAAGAGTACAGCCGGGGAGCCTGAGAATCGGTGGAGCTGGGATAGTGGAATGGAGACAGGAAGCAGAGCAGAGAAGCAAAGATTCCGAGAGGAAAGAGGCCGTCTAAACCCGACTGGAGCCCTAAGCCAGAAGTTGGGCCAGAGTTTGGGGTCTGACCTTCCCAACCCTCGCCCTTCAAGCACAGGCGTTCATTGCTGAGGGGTGCGGCTGCGGG